GTAAACATTCAACGATTCGGTTTCTGCTACATACTACTTATATCTGCCCGCATTAGTAGTGCATACCACACTATGATTAAGAAATACTATTCATTAAAAGTTCCATCTTTAAAGACGGTTTTAATTAGCATTTCCAGTACAAAATAAACATACACCTTATCGTACTTATTACACTGATGAAGTTTCATCAGATTATCGAACTGTCATTCGATTCAGTTCAAGTTAAAAATACATAGAAATATAATTTAATGATTTAATTCATGAGTCAGTTGGAGCTCGATCACCATGGATAACCTGGAAGCACTGGACGGCTGCTTCATCCCAGTGTGGAACTCATCAGCAGTACGCACCCATGGTCCTACTCCACGAGATTCGAACCAAGGTCCTACCAGTCTCGCTCACGAACGTTTAACCTCTGAACTATTGAGTCGGCATCCGACGGTGTCAATGTCTAACCTCAACCAATCCACGAAATTGCGCTATCATCTTCCATTATACTGAGGTTGATACCTGTCTCTAGCCGACATGGATTGGCTTCACTGGTCACGGTTTCTCACTAGAACTCCAGGAAATAACTCTTGGTGACAGTCATTAGGGAGCATATTTATTTACCATACAACACACCTAATTTTACATTAACTTTAATTTTCATTGAGTATTAGTCAAATCATTCGAACAACCATAAACCATTAAATTCATTAAGAATAAATCAGTAGTTTCTTGTGTGTAATCAGGTTTAATAATTTTTCCAATATGAAATATCTTCAGTTCCAACTGAAGCGTCAATTGAGTCTATAGGTAATATTCACCATAGGTTATTCTCAATTGTGGTACTATTAGGCATGTGTCACCTCAATTTGAAGGTTAAGGTGTCAAAACTATTGAGTTGATGTCAGCTGGTACCCGTTTCGAGATATAACTCAACTGTCGACCAATTCCATGAATGGTAACTGTGTCAAAACAGAGAAATATCTAAATTCTATTGATTATGATTTCAGAGAATCATGCTGAAATCAGACAATAGTGAAATGTTTTTGATTTGTAGATGATGTTCATCTTGAATTGAATCACTGAATAAACCGATTGACTTTTAATTTAACTTGTAATGATTTAGATTATACCATTGATCAGCCTTAGCATATGTGTATCTCGTTTAAACAGACTCGATATACCCATTACTTTAATAATTTGTATCGTATGGATGAGATTTGACCATTAGTGGAATCTATAACACGCAATTCATCCTATTTATGACTCACCGGCTGGATTTACTTGAATCTTAATATTGATATTCACTCCAGGATCCAAACCCAGCACTTCTGCTTCAGATATTCAACTCATCAAACACTTATCTAAAATCCATACTCATTGGATAAGTGAATTGCTATCTGGACTAAGTAGCTAAGTAGATAACACATTGAGTGTTTGAAGCAAGAGGTTTAGAATCCCGTCGTTGAAAATTGATTCCAGGATTGAGGTACATTCATATAGGATCCACGCCTTGGATTCCACTGCTAACCGCATATCATTCATTTTACAATTAATTTCTATCTTATTTTATCTTCATGCAACTGATCAATCTTTAGAGACTGTCTGTACTGCATCCGTTGAATGAATTCAAAAATTAGATAGAAAACTGTAAAGATAGAAGAAGAATATTTTCAGAATAAAAAGAATTCATTATATTTCAAAGCTTCTCATTAGGTACAAACGTCATTAACTAACAGCAGAAATATTATTTGAGTTCATGAATCGATCAATGTTAGATTACCATTGAAAACCTGAAGGTAGTGGACGGCCGTTTCATCCTAGTATGAGACTAGTGAGCAGTGCGCACCCAGGTTCCCACATGTGGGGTTCGAACCAAGGTTGTCAATGGTGGTCTAACATTGATCGATTCACTATCTCAATCAAACCTCATCAATCTCCGTAACCCTATACTGAGAAATATTATAATTTAAAAAATGTTATTACATACCATAATCAATGAAGTTCAGAGGCTATTTCCATCCTACGCTTCCGACGTGACGCTATGGTATATCTATCACTGCCATTGTATGATAGCTATATTATTTTAATGCGAATCAGTTACATTATCTCTTCCATTATAGTCTACAACTTAAAGGTGAAAAAATTCCACTGACATTCACCTAAAGAGTTAGCCTTAATTTAAATCCTAAATGGTTGCTGTGGTTATTACACAATTATTAACATTTTGTTTTTATTCATTTTCTCTTTATCATCACTTACAACACTACCCCCCCTTCTTCCGCGTTTTATGAATTGATCTTTAAAAAACTGCTCCTATGGAGAAAGCGATATTGGGCGCCCTACCAGACAACTGAACCAAAGAGTTACTGAACACCTCCCTTCGTGGTTTGGAAACGGTACTGTCGAGACAATACACAGCTCGGTCTTATCACACTTGATCGATAGCGGTTATATAGTAGATAGAAATAAGTCATTCATGAATTACTAGTCAATCTTAACTATTTTGTTGAATGTTTCTCCCTTTTGTTCTGCAAGTCGTTTATAACTTAACTTTATTGATTATGCTATGTAATGTAGTTTTTTTATAATAATATTGTTCTATTGTATATGTGGTACGTTTGTTTTCTATGAGTTGGGGTTACTTACCCCATGTCCAATCCTTCTCCTTTACCCAAACTTGGGACTGCTAGTAACTTTAGAAGAAATACAGACAGAGAATTTGGAAGCAGACATCATATAGATGATTAGCAACTGGAAACAACTTGAAAGGATTGCTCAAAACAGATTTCAATAGAGAATATTGGTAGGTGGCCTATACTCTTCCACAGTGGGTAACAAGTGTAAGTAAGTATGTAAGTAAATTGTAAATTTATTCGGCTTGCAGCTGATTAGAAGCCTTAACATGTAAACATTTATTCTCACATGAAATACCTTATTTGAAAAACAAATCATTGTCTCCTTATTGATTCTTAACGTGAACATGTCAATAATGTACCCTCTTTTTGTTATGCGCATAAATGAAATCCATACAATGATTCATTATGTTTAGCTTAATTGATCAATAAACTATGTGAGATCATGTAAAATTTTCTGTTCACTTATTTGTTGGTTTGTTTGTTTGTTCAAAGTAAATAGAATATGATAAATTGGGGGTAATTTTCTATGGTAACAGTATCAAGAATCATTACATATGACGTTACTAATGTGAGTGTGTTTTTCTTATTGCAAGTTGTTAAAGAGTAAATGTACTGGAAGTAGAGAAACAAGCTCTATGTAAGCTGAATCTGCAAAATGATGGATAAAACTATTTTGTAATCAGTTTTCCCTTTTGTACCTGAATTGCGTCTTTTAATTTTCAAAAATATATCTGTTGTGCTAGTACACCGCATTCTTGTGTCGGAGGTATTTACCAGTCCTAATTGTTGTGTTGTTGTTTCCGATTGCTCCTGCTTTTAAGTAGACGCTAATAATACGTGCTACACACATTTAACAATAATTGTTTTATAAACAAGGATTGGTAGTGGCTAGCAGTGGAATTTAGGACATGCGTTCATTAGATATCTTAATCGTGATCGAGTTGTATGAGGTCTGGGATACTCCCCTGGTGCCTAAATGGAAGTTGGTGTATTTGATAGTGGGCCACAGTCGGAGCCTTTCACGTAAAGGTCTCATTCAGCAGGCAGTGGAGCAACGTAAATAGTTGCACTCACATGGTAGTCGGTGACCAACAATAGGTTCATATGCCATTTGTTCCTTCAGTATTTTGCAGACCATGTGCACCATTGGTTTGGAATGTGGGTTTTCCAACTTTCGTAGATGGATCCTCTGTGTTCACCGATCCGATTGAAGCGCCGGACATTCACTTTTCATCCTCTTTATTTCGTAAACAACACCTGTGGTGCAAGAAGGCAGTGAGTATGACTTCCCTGATATTGGCTGTATACACGTGGCCATTTGAGTGTATTTCGAGAGAGGGAGAGAGAGAAAGAGCTGACTCTCCACACCCTCAGCCGTACCAGGGCATTTTGGGGCATAATTTTATCTAACTAAACCTCTTAAAACCAGTTTACATTTAAACATTAGTGTCGAGAATCATTCAGTCATTTCAGTTGGTAATAAAAATTAATAATCGATTATTGTGAAATTGATTCTAGTTAAAGATAAGAATCATGGAGTTCCTGCTCATTGATCTACAGGTGATATCTGTCTGTACATTCTATGTTCGATCATCGGTATCCACGGTTGTTGGGTGCACACTGTTGAAGTGTCAAATTTGAAGAGAGGATAAATAACTGTATCTTCCTAGTCTTTAATGATTGTTTCACTAATCCTAGCCCATAATATACTTGCATAATATCACTTTATGCATAAATATGCATCGATTTTCTAGGTATGCACGAATTCATTAAAGGTATTTCTATTCAATATTGAATGTTCAACTTTATTCAATGTTTTTGATTGAGATCATGAACTGATTGATGTTATACTACCATGGAAAACTTAGACTCAGTGGATGGCTGTTTCGTCCTATTGTGGAACTCCTCAGCAGTGCTCATCCACGATTCCGTCTCACAGGATTCCAACCCAACGCCTTCAGTATTGTATTGAAAAGTATTGAAATCATAAGTCGATCTAAATTGAACTATCACTGAAAACCTAGATTTTAATATCTTCCTCTTGAATGGTGTGTACCTAATACCCCACAAACAGGAATCAAACGCAAACCTTTCGATCTCACAATCGGACACTTAACCTGAAACGAAATGAATATCCAATGATTCCAAGTTTTCATTGTTGATCTTACTTAGATCAGTTCATGATTCTAATGAAATTCAATAATCTTCTTGATATTTATTTAGTTCAACCAATAAATTCTTTTCAAAAAACAAACCATTATACCTAATTTATATCTTAGAATTGTTTATATAAGCCTAAGTAAATAAACTAATCTGTTTCAACATTAAATTTATTCTTAAATAGATGAATCTTTCTTTCATATCATCTTATACATAAATGATCACTCATAATTTAATAATCTATTCCATTATTACAATATGGATTCTAACTGTACATTATGTGAATTGTGGTAAGTTCAATTGAGTTATAAGAACCTTTTGTATTCTCTTAGCTATATTACCCAATATGTATTATCTGTTTCACTGGTTGAAATCATGAGTCATTTGAAGCTAGACTACCGTGGAAAACCTGGAAGCACTGGACGGCCCTTTCTTCCTAGTATGGAACTCCTCAGCAGTGCGTATCCACGATCCCACCCCCACGAGATTTGAACCCAAGACCTATCAGTCTCACGTGAGGCGCTTAACCAACTAGACCACTGAGCCGACATCCAAATCGATTTAGTCAAGTGTTACTCAACATTTTTAGTCGCACAAAAATAAACTACAGACATATGCTGAATAAGATGAGAAGTGTGCACATAAACTCTTACATAACAACAGTCAAGGTTGATAAGTGAATGATTATCAAGGTCAAAATGTGACTCAAGTAGAATGAATAAATTGACTTGTCTTGAAGATAGAATAAGATATACAGACTCAACACAATGACCGACACTACATCATCCCTTATTGTAAAACAGTATTATTCGGTTCTCCGTTTTTTTAATAACTATGATCGGTATTACTGTGTTCGCAATTCCTTGATAATCACCTTGTCGTACCGAAGTGATATGAAGCCTTGGGCTAAAGTACATTATGACTGTTTGATATAGATAGAGTTTGACTTTTTGAACAAAATAATCCTAATACTTCACGATAAATACACAAACCAAATCGAATCCATCAGGGAGCATCAGTTCCCTCAAGATTACAAGTACACATTACTGACAAGTGCCAAGTATCATGAAACCTAGGTTCAGGATTTCTTGTTGACTACATCCAACCACCATTTTAAAACAAATCAAGGTTCTGAAACTTTTATTTTACAATATCTGTAATGTTTAAATCTTAGATTTTCCATCTGTAATCATTTATACAACAAATTTTCGTTGCGAGACTATAATTCATGGACGAACCAATCAGATTTACGATAACAGATCTTAAATTTTGGTGCAAAAATTCACTCATCCATTTGGTTAAATAGAGTTTTGACATTATAGCTGATGTTAGTTCGTGATAGAAAACCTACATCTGATTCCTATCCTTAACCATCAACTGTAAATATTATTCATAACTCCTCATGCTGATTTATAACCTTCATTTAGCCGTAGTATGTAGGTGGACATTCACAAGGTTTCTTTAGTGTTGCTCATAGGTCATCCATAAGTTATAGTCTCACCCTTGTAGTTTGGAGAACATAAGGCGACTATGAGTTCAATGTTTTCATCAACACAGAAAGTCCAACATTCTATTGACTTTGAACTATCTTCAAACACTTCACGGGCCTTAATGGGTCACTTGATAAAGAGTACTGTTTTAATCAGTATATGGTCTCTGTAAACAGTCTTTAACACTTCATTAGTCTACTGAAAGTTTATTTATATTCATAACTAACAATCTCTGTAGGTCAATTTGTGGATTTTCCAATTAGATCAATCCTTTTTTTAGCAATCTGGTCAGATCTTCACATCGTGATTTTTGAAAAAGATTACTTTTTCATGATGTTTATTACTTCAATTACAAACAGTATGATGGTTCATAAATCTTCTTCCAATTAGACGTAGTGGAACTTCATCAGTTGAGATGCCTGGGACATGAGTTACGTATGCCCAACCACCAACTGCCACAACGTGCGATGTTTTATGGTGTAAGAGTAGGTCGGAAGAAAGTTAGGGCCGGTCAGACTAAAACATGGCACAAATCCATGAAGTCATTGACAAGTGGACTGAGCCATGTTGGTCGACGTAGACTACATAGTTGAGATCCGCGAGATGATACCAACCGATGGTTAGATATCCTGAATGACATGACTTAAAATCGTTTGCAATGGCGCAGGTGCATCCACTCTTTGTGTTCTCCTAAGTTCTAATCTTCCGAATTCTTCATGTCCTATTATTTTTTCTTTTTCCCAATTTATTTTATTGGATTATACTCCTTGAATAATATCTTCAAACCCTAATCTTCCCGATTATTGCTTATACTATTACTACGTCTACCACTATGGGATTTGAATCCACAACTGCATCTCTGTGTTAATGTGGTATAACAACTCGAACTGATGTACGTACGTACCAAGTTCTACACTGTTACTGACTGACTGATTGAGATATAAATCTATTACTTAATGTAACATCGAAATTATACACCCAATTTAATAATTCTTGTAAGTTTGATTTAAGAATCGTTACCGACCTTACATTGAAGCATATAGTATGCAATTTGGAGTCGCTTAGATCAATAGCCGCATTTAAACTCGAACGAAAGAGTTTGATCGACAGTAAACATGACTAAACAAACGTGATGTTATCCATGGTAATTATTCACGAAGGCTTTGTACTTTTTTATCACCTTCAGTGAATGTGTTGTCTTACGGCCTTGACAATTATCACGAGACAAAATCACTAATCAGAATATCTACTTATATTGACATTGTCGCTGTGCTTTAACCAATGATGCATTGGTCAGTACGAACAGCCTTGAGTCAACTCAGGAGTCTTTATTAGTCCTCTGTATAGTAGCTTCTTGCTAAGTCCTGCCCATTGAGTCCAGAAAACAAATATCAGCCTCTATTGTATGAATCATATATTTCAGACATACGTGGTTTATATACAAACAGATCAGACTGCATCACACCTTTAAATCTAAAATGATAATCACACAAGATCAATATAAAGGTAGCTATGAGTATGGGATACTGTAACTGATAATGTGGAAATAAGTTGAGAATGGTAAATTGTACAGCAGTAGCCTATGGATTAAAAGAAAAGCTTATAATGTAGTGAACGAGAACACAAATGGGGACAAAATATCTGAGAACCATACAGTGAATACTTCATTTGCAACCTGTCAGTCAATTATTTCAAACTTGACTGTTTCTTCTTCAAAACGCTAATCGATCACTTCAGACTTCATTTTTCTTCTGTTTCCACACCAATCATTCTCGGTTCATGTTCTCTTTTCTTTGATCTTCTTAACCATGTACCACCAGACATTTCACTTTCGATTGGTGATACATACTACTTATATCTATCGACATCAGTAGCACACATCACGATAATAATTAGAATATGGGTATATATATATATGTATAATTTAGTTATTTAATAATTATTCAATAAGAATATGGGTAATAATTGTCCATAAATAATTCCAAACAGTTATTATTCATTTAGATACAACTGTATACCATGGATTTTGAAATTGACAGACATTACATAACTACCATTGTTGCCATGGCATTTGTTTTAGCTGGGATACTATGGGGTGATCATTGTAAGTTTATGAAATTTTATATGAATGATATTCACTTGGTGTTGTTTTACTTGTATCTACCCATTGTCATTTAAGACTGCAATTGACCAGCCACATTTTGGCATATGTGTATCCTGTGCTGACTGCCTCGATATAGCCATAGGTCACAAGTTTTTTAAGCAAAGATGAATCGTGGTTATCAGTGGAAATCACTTTGACGCGCGTTTTTTTCTATTTGAGACTCGTCAGTCGGATGTACCTGAATCTCAGAGTTGATGTTTACTCTGTGACTCGAATTTAGATTAGTTTTCTACTGACATACATCCACCCTAAGCAAGTGCTTCACTATTACCTGTAAATATGGTTTTTCTAATGTAATGTGATGCACTTCATCTCAGATGACCCTCATAAGCGTAGAGATTAAAATTTGTAGATACAGTTTAGCAACATGCATTTAGTGAAAAATTTATCAACTGATGACTATATTTATAATCTCATTTTTAACCCTGTTTGGTTTTCTTAGCAACTGACACAACAAAGACATGTAAGTTCTTTCTCACTATATAAATCAAATTGTATTTTTCCAATTATTTACAAACAGATCTGGTCATGAAAAAAATGCCTCCCACACAAGGAGTTGCACCGACGCTATCCAAAGATAAACATGAAAAGCATTTATACAATGGAAATCTCATGGATCCAAGATCATCAAACCATTATTCAAAACAGAGAAGGAAGGGATCACAATGGATCTCATCTCGTGTTATGCACCCACCAAGGATATCAATGAAGATGATAAAAATCAGTTTTATGGGAGGCCACAATCAATCATGGCGAAGTTCCCAGGAAAGGACCTAACCATCTTGATGGGAGATCTAAACACCAAAGTCGGAATAGACAACAACGGTTATGAAGATATCATGGGACGACATGCACTAGGAGAAAGAAACGAGATTGGTGAGAGACTGATAATGTATATGCATTCAATTTCATTGAAACCATGAACTGCAATTCGTTAAACAATCAATGAAAACCTGGGAGTACTAGACAGCTGATTTTTCCTAGCGTAGGACTCTTCAGTAGCATGCGTCCACTTACTTGCACGCAGGAACCGGACCCAGGGTCTTTGGTTTCACTAGCAAAAGCTTAACCCCAAGGTGACTGATTAGGAGTCCAGTGCTGTATACACCTAATTTCGATCAAATCAGTATAAATTTAGTCTACTTTCAATCCGGCGTTTGACAGTGGTACTGATCGATGAGTTATTGGGGGCTCAGGGGTCTGGAATTTAAGATTAATTAATAACCGTTTATTTTTAGTATGGAATTCATAGATAGTTCACATCAACGGCTTCATCAAGGATTGAACTCAAGACGTTTAGGTCTCACAAAGGTCACTTACAACTATTGGGTTGGTGTTTAATGAAACACATTTCAATTTGCTACATTGAGCGAGGATTATTCAATGTTATGATGACTGTTTTATTTCCGGCATGTTTAATTTTCATCAGCCATAAATTCTAACTAAATTTTCAGAAACATCTTGAAGTGGATTTTGTGGAGACTGCTTTAATATGGAAGCATTATTCTTTACTTATTATTACTGGTACGGAGCACTATAGTAAATCAGGAAGCATTGGAATTGAAGTTAGGAATCTCTACTACTATCAGTCAGTGGTCTGTCACACGCAACCTAGAACCTATCATATATATTCATTGCCTCAAGTTGACACATTTTACTAACACGAGCTTTCTCTCAACCTATTCTTACACCAGCTACCATTGAGAGCAAAGGTTGGCTGTAATATATCAGTGTTTTATAAAGTTTATATGTTCACCACGAAATATGTAGGTTCAAGGTATGATCTTTGATTAGGTCGTTGCAAAACTTCTTACTAGCAAGACACAACTCTCCTGTAATCTTTGTTTTTCACGGACATCTCCATTGCAATTTTTTTCGTTTAATCTCGATGAAAAACCAAACATCATCATCTACAAAATAAACTGTTCCAATGACGAAAAGCACTATATCAGGCAAAATGAACTCTTCCTTCACATATTTGTGTGCATGGACATCAATAAGCGGTCAAACGTTATGACATTTCATTTATATCAATGTATGTGAGCAACTGTGGACAAACATTCGACTGGAAAAATAATGTTGAAATCAGCAATCAATAAACAAATTGAAATCGAACAAGTCCATCAACCAAATAAGAAAAATCATGGACAGTTGTATAGATCCAAGAATCAGATTCAAAGAAAACAAAATCAAAATAAAGAGGAAGATAATGACAGAATAATGGTCAACAATAACCAGTCAAAATCGAGGTCATCAGGACAAACTGGGAGTCATATGTTGTAGTGAAATTTGAACTTTACACTTCTACTTGCAGTTTTTTGCTAATGATGATGTTGTTCAAAAGAACAATGTAAGCTTCACGACAAAACCATCCAGCTTATAGAAGAAAACTCAAACAAAATCATCCATCTGTGCTACACATCTTCCTCGTTATCTCGAAACTTAAAATCTATTTATTAAGATAGTGTTTCATCATCAGAAACATCATAATTATATCTTATTGTACGTTCCACCAGGGCGCTTGGAACCTTTGTGGTTGCGCTACAGGATTGAGCTGTACTATTCAGATTGTAGAGTTAAAGCCCATATGGTGTCTGGTTCTCCTGTGAAGCGGTATTGAGCTGAACCGCTCGGGTTATAAAATTTAAGCCTGGGCGGTATCTGGCTCTCCTGTTAAACGGGATTGAGCTGTACTATTTGGGTTGTCACGTGAAAGTCTGAATGATGTCTGGTTCTCCTGAGAACCAATTTAAAATTACCCTAACCCTCAACGGTATATTGTATAACTATAACTATCTTATTTTATGTATCTTTTTTAGATATAAGAACGACAAGTAAGATTTACATAATTAACATCATTTTGACTCAATTCACATTGTTCGAGTGCTATATTTGAAGCGATTACAAGTTCACCTAGATCCTGTGACCAAAGACCAATAAGCTAGCTATTCTTATACGTCCCAGCCCCGTTAACCAAAGAAAGAAGTCCAGAATTACGAGCGACAACTATAGGCACAAATCAAACGTATATATACAGTATAAAACTGTCCTTTGGGAAGCGTTACAAAATAGCATATTAAAAGATACAACAAACCAATAACGTTTAAGATCCTTCCAAGTGGGAAATACTATATGAAGGTGAAAATGAGCGATTTCGGCGCGAAAACAGGGAATTCAAATTTTTAAAATATAAATACAAAAAATAAGATATTTATCAAGTGAGTTCTTGGGATCTAACATCCACAACATCGTGTTAATATTAGACAACACAATTATTAAAGGATATTTGTAGAACACAAAATGATTGATTATTAAGTATTCCGTCAATTCATCGTTGTGTTATTCATTTTTCTATTGGTTGTTTAAATCTTTCCTTTGATATTTACGACTCTAATTGATCAGTCTCTTATTGGCATAAGTATATCCTATACGGATTTTCTCGATATAGCCTTAAGTCACAAGCGTTATGAGTAGACATGGATGGTGGTTAGTAGTTGAATTTAGGATGGGCGATTAGTCCTATTTTATACAACTAACGAAGACTTGGATAGTATAATCCAATTTATTCTATTATGCAAAATCACATTGTATTTACAAAATAATACACTAAATACATTATATTGCACATCCTCCTCGAATCGATTGTTACAGGCTCTATCGTTCTTTCACCCCTGTTGCTACTCAAACTGCTTATGTTTTTTTCTTCTCATTTCCCTCTTCTGTCAGTAAAAATCTTACTTCCAGTAGTTAATACATACTACTTATATCCGTCCGTATAAGTAGCACACATCGCAGTTGAAGTGAATGTTCCTTATGATTTTACATCATCTTAGTCGAATAGTGCAATCATTCTCATAAACCAAAGAATAGTATAAATCTCTATTGATATACTTCGACAAACATCTAATTCTGTGAAGCTGAAAATGCGATGTGTGAATGGAATTACAACCAGGACTCACAAGCATATTTTAGGATTATAGATACTGATTTTAAATAAAATGGACATACTGTCTAACAATTTGGTTTATCATATTAGCTGGTGTTTTTGGTACAGTTTATAATGCATGTACTATCTGAAACATTTAGAGATAACAATCGAATACCATGCTTAAATGTAAAAGATAAATCTGTTTATGAATATGAGAAATGAGGGAAAGTTTTTGATTGAGATCATGTATTGATTGATGTTAGATTGCAATTAAAAACTTGGAAGCACTGGATAGCCGTTTCGTCCTATTGTGGGACTCCTCAGCAGTGAGCATACACGATCCCGCATTGAGAAATTCGAACTTGAAGCATTCTGTCTCACGCGCGAACGCTTAGCCTCTAGACCACTGAAACGGCTGGTATTCAATGGTGTTAATGTCTAACCTCAACTAATCCACGGAATAGTGTGTCCATGATCGACTGTACTGAGGTAGTTATCTGTTTCTACCAGACACGGATTAGCTCCGTTGGTCACGACTTCTCTAGTGAAGGAAAGTGGTAAACAAAACAAAACATATCAGTTTTATTCACAACTTACCGGAAAACCTTTTGTTCTAATCATTTTATATAAACATATATACTATGACATAACTTGATACTAGGGTTAAGATGTACAAATGTATGTATCAATGTGACTAAGTCATTTATTTTATTTCGAAAATTTCCAATCCAAACAGTGGAATCACAAATGAATACAATTAGTTCTGTGATTCAAATTAGAATTGGTGAGGATAGATTTAAGATTGGAGGCTACTACTAATATTCATATATGTATTTATTGTAATTACCAAATGTAACAATGAGCTGATTGAAAACCAGTTTGGTATTGTTTACTTGAATTTTCCCATTGAAGTTTATGGATGCACCTGAACATCAACTCTGAGATGCAGATAGATTCATCTGATGAGTCCCAAATACGACGAAACGCGCATCCTGGATTATACTGCTATCCATTATCCATCTTTGCTTAGAATGCTTGTGAATTAAGGCAAGACGCACAGGATACACATATGCCAATAAGAGACTGATCAATTACAGTCCTAAATATCAATGGAGAGATTCAAGTAAACTGTACTAAGTGAGTTTTAACTTCACCTCATTGGACAATCAAGTGGCTATTAGGACTCAGAAGCTAAGTAGACAACGCGATGATGTTTGAAGCAAACGGTATTGGGTTCGAGTCCCACAGTGAACATCAACTCTGAGATACAGGTACATCCATCTGACGAATCCCAAAATAGGACAAAATGCTCGTCTTGGATTCTATCGTTAGCTATGATCCATCTTTGATTAGAATGGTCGAAAACAGTTTCTTTTTTTTGAATCGTGAAAAAGATTAAACTGCTTTCTGATTGAAAAATTATTACTTTTCACTTCACAGCGAAAGCTTCAAGACCAGGTGAGTAACAGTTCGTAATTTTTATGCATGATAAGATAAATGATTTACAAATGCATTTTTTCATGATGTGCCAGCTACGATATATGGGAGAACTTCCATTTTAAACACATTGAAACTGTTCGTCCCCGAACCCTCCCCGCGGACGATAGTATTAGGTAACTCATTGCTTATTTATCAAGTACTGATTTATGTACTGAGCTTTGAACTACATTTTTATGTCTGAAGGTTATTGATTTTAACCAGATACTTGAACTAAACTGATTGTAGAATCCTAAACTACAGTACACTATTCTTAAGTTACTAAGTACCCTACTTTCCACCAATAAAAATTACTGTTTAGTTGATGTTTAATTTCCAGTTCTGTGAATGATTCATTATTAATCTCATTGAAATGAATTGAAATAATTCTTAGCTTTTGTTATTAAAGTTCCAAATTATCACATTTCCCAGTTTACTGAAAGGTAAATAGTTGTTTCTTAGGTTACAAAGGTTTTCAAGTTACGAAAGGATTCGTAAGACTAGACTGAACCCAAAAGTACTTTTCATCTAAATAAGTCGTTTTTTTTATAACACCATTAATCAAAATAGTTCTTTTTTGATTGAGATCATGAACTGATTGGTGTTAGACCACTGTTGGAAACCTGTAGTCACTGGACGGTCATTTCGTCCTATCGCGAGGCTCCTCGTCAGCATGCATGTACCCAAGGCCTTCACTCTCTCGCGCGAACGCTTAACCTACTGGACCACTGAGCTGGTATCCATTGGTGTTGGTGTCAATCGATCCTTGATCTCAATCAAAAACTAAATCGTCTCTACAAACCCTATACTGATAATTTTTATTTATTCACTAGTTACTGAAAAACAAGGACCATGTAAGTAAACCTTTATTACTTATTTTACTTACTTAAACCTTTTACTCCCAATGGATCGTAGACCGCCGACCACCATTCTCCAACCCACTCTGTCATCGGCCTTCTTTTCTAGTTCTATCCAATTGTTGTTCATTCTTCTCATATCTGTCTCCATTTCTCGCTGTAATGTGTTCTTTGGTCTTCTTTTCCTCCATTGGTATTGAGGATTCCAAATGAGGGCCTGCCTTGTGACGAAGTTGGATGCTTTGAGGCAAAACTATATATATTAGTCAAACTAATGAACAAGCGAGCTAAGGTTTTGAAAAGTTTATTTTTCTTCAAATACCCCCAATCTCCATTTGTATTATTCGAAACAATTTTTCAGAGTGTTTAGAAGTTAAACTATCTTGATACCTTGTTATTTTCATGATTGTTACGTTGATTTTTGCAGCCTGGAATGATTTGGGGAAATCGAGAACACAGATGAATTCCTAAAACTCTACTTATTCATAATTATCAGAAGAGGATTTTGTGTAGATTTTAGTCATTTAATAGTTGAATTTATGAGTCATTTGAAGCTAAATCGATAGGTCCTGGGTTTAAATCCCCCAGGTGGGTTCGTGGATGTGCACTGCAGATGGGTTCCACACTAGAGTGAAACGGCCATCCAGTGCTTTCAGGTTATTCACTATTGTCTGTAAAGTGAATAGATGTTTAGAATGTTCAAAAAACTATATAGCTTAATGTTTTCAACAACAAAATGAAGAGTTTTCAGTCGTCACTCACTTGGATCATTCTTGTAGTGTTTGAGGAAGTCAAGAGAATCGGTAATTCCTTAGATGAAAAGATATTTACTAAATGAGTTATCTCCATGAATTTCCCAAGGGTTTAATAATATCTATACTTAGAAATTTCGACAAATCCATTGGCTTATTTATCAAACACTACATTTTGTACAAAGAATAAATAAAACAGAAATTAAGCCATTACACTGATTTCTTAACCATATTAAAGTACTAAAGTAACCAGTTTACTCCGGGAATTCCGATTAACACTTTTCACAAATGAACAAAATTCGTCTGATCCCAGAGTGACATCTACTTATGTTGCTATCGATACATAACTAGATTCTCAATAAAAGAATCGTGTCTTATTTTATTTGAGATTTATCAACTAGATATTATCTAAATTCCAGTATTGGAAGAAAGTTAGGGGCGGCCAAACCAAACCGTGGCATGAATCCACAAAGTCATTAACTTCTAGTCTTAGCCATGTTAGTAGATGCAGATTACTTGGTTGGGATCCGCGTGACTATCGTAACCAATGGTAGGAGACTATGGGCGACATGGCTTAGAATCGATCACAATGGAGTAGGTATATATACTCGCTGTCTTCACTTAAACTAAGATATTAAAATCTCTTCATATCTTTCTTTCTACGAACTAATTCTTTCTTCCTGTACTATATCTTTATTTGAAATCTTTCTTTTATATATTATCACTATTGAATTAACCACTCCTATGAACCCGGTGTTCGTCTTGCTTTGTTAATAAGGAATGGCAACTGGGACTGGTGTATATATGTGCCTGATCCTACCTTGTAGTTGACTGACTGACTGACATTCCAGTAGTAATCTCTATATTCTCAGTTCAATCTAACACCTTTCATCGGTAAAGCTAACTGAATTGAAATAAATTTTTTATAAAAATAATTTGTATTTCAGTTGTAATTAATGATGAAAACAGTAAGTTTTATGAGAATATCCATACTCCTAATACATAACTATCAAGAACCACTGTCATTTCAACAATACAAACTGAGAAACCAAAATACAACTGGTACAAAGTTTTATTGACTTAAACTAAACTACACTCAATTTATATAGAAATCTTAGCTATTCAATATCATAGTCACTGTAAATTAAAACAAACTTCATAATGTATGTCATAAGTTTGATCCTTGGTGAGGTCATGAATACTTATTGTCTAGGAATTCCAAAATGATAGGGTGAAACTGTCCAGTGCCCCAAAGATTTAAATGATATTCCAAATGAGATCATTCTTAAAGAAATACTTACGTATACAATTCATTTTTACACTTTTTGAAAAGAAGTTTATTAGTTACTTAGTTACAGCCTGTTACCCATCGTCAAGGGACATAGTCTACCTACCAGCATTTTTCGTCCAACTATGTCATGGGCAATCCTTTCCAGTTCTTTTCATTCTTCTCATGTCTACTTCCAATTTCCAACATTCTTCGGCCTTCTTCTTCTTTGTTTCCCTTCAGGATTCCAAGTTAAAATTTGCAATTCAATGATTTCCGTCTTATATATCCTATCCACTTCCAACATGTATTCGTAATTTCTTCTTCAATCGGAACCGAGTTAGTTCTGTTGTTGATGTTATCCGACCAAACTTTTATGATAACACTTGGTAGTATATTTTGCTTTTATTTACCAATTTCTTATCAGTTTCAAGGTATTAAGATGATGTACATTCGCGTAGACATTGAAATATTTGACTAACCAAGTTCGTTATTGCCATAGTAGTAAACTGTTAATATCAACGTTTTAAGATATTTGGATGATGGATAACAATCATATTCAATATCTAAGTTTTTTTGTTTTTTTGTTGGTTGTTTTGGACGGTATCTACATCTACATCTACATGGTGATGTTCAAACAGGGACTTGATCATAGTACCTATCACACTAACATATTATCTACGAAGTTAAAAAATTCATGTATCCCGTAACATGTTCAAGGAATAAGACTTGTTCGTTAGAGTTTGTAGCATTCTGTCGTCAATATTTAATACTGAATAATTGATAGATGCAATATTGAGATACTTTAATGATCTGGGATATGACTCCATTTGGATCATATGAATGATTGATATCGAGTTATAGAAATATCTTGGCTACCCTCGTATATAACTATCGACTTAAGTTCAAATACAAGAATGGATTATTGAGTGAGCATATTTAATACAATCGTTGATCCAGACAAACGATCGGAGAAACGAAGCGAAAAGAAGAGAGTGGAGAACGCGTGTGAGCCAACTCGATTTAATCAAACGCTAATCGATATTAATAGTCTGATAAAAATAAATTACAGACATGTGATGATTAAGACAGGAAATTCACACATATATGCTCACATATAACAACAGTTCAAGTTGACAAGAGAATAATTGGATAGCATAAGTGCAATTCCTTGTATGTGTGGAGCATTTTCTTCTTCATTGCCGGAGTATAACAACAGCTCCTCTGAAGCTAGTCTTTGTTGTCCAACCTGTGTCCAATGAACTTCACTGATTCCAAAATCCTCCAGGTTGTATCTTTTTATTTCTGCATCAATTTGGATGACTCTCTCCTACAATGAACAAGCATTCCATGTACCTAAAATATTGGTTGCTCTTGTTGTCAGAAGGGGCATCAGCCTCGTGACTTCCGAAGGATATCGGCTTTCATCATGAGGCGTCATAACTCTCCTAAATGAAGACCTTCCAACTTCCAGGACAGAGTTTAAATGGTTTGAATTATTTTTTCTGGTCAGATTTTTTTGGTGAGTTAGTTCTTTATGGGACGGGATCGCTAACCCCATGCCCAACCCTCCACCTTTATCTGGGTTTGGCACCGGCAGTAGCCCCGTAGGGGCTCCAGGCGGAGAAAAACGAATAGTTACCGGGGTTAAAATGTAGCTTGAGGAAAATGGATGAGTTCATTTGTCCGGAATCTAGAATAAGCTATGTTGGCTTAACATAGTAACTGACGCTACGATACCCGTTCAAAATGGATGTATAACACCAGTGATTGAATAAAAACCAATTCACGAAATCAACAAAGCGTTGATACAAAACCCTAGTGATATCAAATTTGAATATTATTTTACTACTGAAAAACAAGATATTTCTCATTATTTTCAAGTATGACATTAGTAAGCATGGTAAAATGAAGTCAAAATAGTAAACACTACTTAAATGATCACTCAGTGGACAATATGAATTTTTGTTATTTATATCAGCAGAAATCATTCAATGGTAGCCTCACTACCTATGGATTTCTAGTATAGGAGTTGTGGAGATTATTAATCTTTTGATTGAGATCATGAAGCAATTGATGTAAGACCATCACAATTGAAAACCTCGAAGCACTGGACGGCCGTTTCGTCCTATTGTGGGACTCCTTGTCGGGTAGAGACAGTTATCTACCTCAGTACAATGGAAGTTGGTCGCGCAATTTCGTGGATTGGTTGATGTTAGAAACTATCACAATTAGATGCCGGCCCAGTGGTCCAGTTGGTTAGGCGTTCACGCGCGAGACCGAAGGCCCTGGGTTCGAAACCCGCTCGCGGGATCGTGGATGCGCACTGCTGAGGGGTCCCACAATAGGACGAAACGGCCGTCCAGTGCTTCCAGGTTTTCAATTGTGATGGTCTTACATCAATTAGTTCATGATCTCAATCAAAAACCTATGGATCTGACAGTATTCGTACTCTGAAGATTGTAACTAAGCTTTACTACTTAAAATCAACCAACCCGAAACCTAGTTAAAACAAGTTGCCATCTTGACTATCTTCAATCACTTAACATTGAAAAGTCATCAAACAATTGTTACTTACTTACTTACTTACGCCTGTTACTCCTAATGGAGCATAGGCCGCCAACCAGCATTCTCCAACCCACTCTGTCCTGGGCCTCCTTTTCTAATTCCATCCAATTCTTGTTCATGTTTTTCATGTCTATTCCCATTTCTCGGCGTAATGTGTTCTTTGGTCTTCCTCTTCTCCTTTGGTATTGAGGATTCCATGTGAGGGCTTGTCTTGTGACGCAGTTGGGTGCTTTCCCCAATGTGTGTCCTATCCACTTCCAGCGCTTCTTCCTGATTTCTTCCTCCGCTGGGATCTGGTTTGTTCTCTCTCACAGTACGTTGCTGCTAATAGTGTCCGGCCAACGGATCTGAAGTATTTTGCACAGACAACTGTTAATAAACACCTGTATCTTCTGGATGATGGCTTTCGT